CTCAGACAATTGGGGGGCCGAAACACCAAAAATAAATAAATATTTTTTAAAAAATTTAAAAAATATGCACGCACATTCTCTCAGCCCCAGAAAAGCCATGGCAAACCCCCTGTGGAGATTTTGCCAAGAAAACCCCAAGAACAAGTAATAACAACAATAATCAATATCATCATGGCGGGCGGTGGGGGTGTCGGGGGCGGCGGCAGCAGGACTGCCCTGGGGCCGATCCAAAGGCCTCAGGGGGCCGCATCCGGCCCCCGGGCCTTAGGTTGCCTACCCCTGGTCTAGATCAAGGGAAGTACGGTAACATTGCCACTCTATTCTGCTTTGGTCAGGCCCCACCTGGAATACTGTGTCCAGTTCTGGGCACCACAATTCAAAAAGGAGGTTGGGAAGCTGGAACGTGTCCAGAGGAAGGTGACCATAATGATGAAAGGTCTAGTAACCTTAAGCCCTATGAGGAAAGACTGAAGGGGCTGGGTATATTTAGCCTGGAGAAGAGACAGTAAAGAGGTGATATGATAGCCCTGTTTAAGTATTTGAAGGGGTGTCATATTGAGGATGGAACAAGCTTGTTTTCTGCTGCTCCAGAGAATAGGAACCAGAACAACAGATGCAAGCTACAGGGAAAGAGATTCCAGCTCAACATTAGGAGGAACTTCCTGACAGTGAGAGATGTTTGACAATGGAAGAGACTCCCTTGAAGGGCGGTGGAGTCCCCTTCTTTGGAGGTTTTTAAACAAAAGCTAGATGGCCATCTGTTGTGGGTGCTTTGATTGTGAGTTCCTGCATGGCAGAATGGGGTTGGACTGGATGGTCCTTGGGTCTCTTCCAACTCTACAATTCTATGATTCTAAATGTAAATCCAGGCTTCTTTAGTCCTGCTTGAAATGGAGGACATTTTGGAATTCCTCCTGGACAGAAGCCTGAAATACTGTAGGACATGTCCAGGAAAAGGAGGACGTCTGGTCACCCTGCACACTGCCCTGTGGATAAGATAGCAGTTCTGGGTGGCTGGTGTGTGTGTGTGTGTGTGTGTGTATAAAGAAACATTGCTAAGGGGCACTTGGAAGATCAAATATATGAAGTGAGTTTTGTATTGTTATGTGTCTGTACTGCAATGTGGTTTCAGCACTGAAGTATGACTGGAGATCAGGGTTCAATTCTTTGCTCAGTCATAAAACTCTGTGGGTAATCTTGGGCAAGTCACACACTCTCAGCCTCAAGGGAAAGCAATGACAAACCTCCTCTTAATAAATCTTGCCACAAAACCCCAAGATTAGAGTCACCTTTATGGTTGCCATAAGTCAGAATTGACTTGAAGGTTCACAAGAACAAACAACAAGTCCTGTAGTGGTTTGAGCATAAGACTATTAGACTCTGGAGATCAGGGTTCGATTCCCTGATGGAGCATAAAAACCCATTGGGTGACCTTGTGCAAGTCACACTCTCTCAGCTTCAAAGGATGGCAAGAAACTTGCTAAGAAAACCCTATGATAGCCTTAGAGTCAACAGAAGGACAAAATAACTTGGAGGCACAACAACAAAGTCTTCATGGAAACAGGTGCTTGGAAGACAAATATGTGAGCCAGATTCCTTATTGTTATGATTTATACTGTTTCCAGCCTGGCATAGTGCTGGATTACAACTGGATTACAACTCTGGGGATCAGGGTTCAATTCCCCAATGGACCATGAACCCACTGGGCAACCTTGGTTGAGTCACACACTCTCAGCCTCACAGGAAGGCAATGGCAAATCTCTTCTGAACTAAATATAGCCAAGAAAACACCATGATAGGGCCTTAGGGTTGGCATAAGTTGGAAATGACTTGAAGGCACACAAGAACAATGTTTCCCCTACCTGCATGCTTGTGCCCTTGCAGAGCTTTGGGAGAGTTGCTTTTTTGGACTACAGCTCCCAGAATCCTCTAGCAGAATCCACTGATTGGCTGAAGATTCTGGAAGTAGTCCCAAATTTCATTTTCCTAGGCATTGTGTCTTTGTACCTCCCTTATGGCCTAGTTATTTCACTAATGCCATATTTACCTATAACAGTCAGCATGGCATAGTGGTTTGAGCACTGGACCAGGGCCCAGGGTTCAAATCCTTGCTTGGCTATGGAAACCTACTGGATGATGCGGATCACACACTCTCAGCCCCAGAGACCCCTCAGGGTTGCCATAAGTCACAAATGACTGGAAGGCACACAACAACAACTACCCCAGCCCTAGTTTAACATGCTAACCTTTAAATTAGACCAGTCAGTTTAATGGCAATGAAAAAGGGAGCAGAGATCAAGGTTTTCACAGTGAGCTGCTAAAAGCATTCATGTAAAAAACAGATGATTTTTCTCCCCCCTGCACTATATGGAGAGCAAACTGCAGTGTTTATGTAACAATGCACATAGAAAGAAAACCCACACTCTCGCCCTTCATATCAAGTGGCTGATGATCTAGTACGGATTCCCTCTCCTACCATCAAAGCTCATCAGCATTGCACTTGGGTGAAGATGTCAAGCTTCTGGATCTATCTATCTATCAGCTTTCTTCACCATCCTGTCAAATGAGCTGGGCTGTTTGCAATATTTTAAAAATAGTCTTCACAATATAGCACACGAGACAGAACAGAACAAAGTAAAAGCAACTGGGAAAAGAATGGTTAAATCACGCTCTGGGCAATCTTTGCAAAATCTCCATCGGCCTTTGCCTCTTGGGGAATGACATATTTCTGGTGCTGGCGAAATGTGGATATAGGAATACTGTGCTCATGTTGCTCTCTGAATGTTTTGACTCTATTTAGTCTTCGGTTTTCAGGCTGCAGAGCCCAGCGTGCCATTGGCAATTAGCTTACAGTTGTAAACTGCTTATAGAGACTGCATAGCACAGTATGAAG